GCTAATGTGGTTAAATGCTGCATTTTCGGAGCCCTCTCAGATGCAGCCAGTCCTGGTGCCAAGAAGATCTGCCACAAGAATCTAAATAAATGCCTCTTCTTAGTAAATCTCACTGTCAGACTGGTGAATGCCTGAATGGCCCCAGACATAACCACCCTCCTTACCCTCCCATGACCACTCTTTCTATCCTCCTATGCCTTCCCACCTGTTGTGTGACTAGTCCATTCCCTGGAAGATGTAACATACATGGCTCCTCACCCCAGACAGGAAGCCCACGAGGGACCAAATACAGATGCCACCACGTCCAGCTTGGTGAGCCAATGAGCTTTATGGGCATTGTTTACAGGAATCTGGGTGAGAGGTGACTTACAGGTTCATAAAAATTCAAAGACAGTTGCACCACCAAAGCCTACCCTGGCATGGGTGACAAGCTCGCAAGAGCTAGGAACGGAAACTGGAGCACACTGTACAGCCTGCCAGCAGCTCCACAGGTAGAAGAGTGTCCTTTTAAGTCCAAGCTGGTCTAAGCCCCTTTCAAGCACCATGGCTGTTTTCTGCTTCTTCCCGGCAGCTGGTCTGGTCTCACAGTCATCTTTGTAGCTTGGCTTGTCTGAGAGTAACTCTGAGAAGCTTGGCTTGTAAAATCTTGGGGAGGAGAGAAAGAGAGAATTTGGTCAGTTTTAGAGAGTTCCTTCCAGAAGCTGTTTTGAATTGCTGACCTTCCTGTTTAAGGAGCTTCCCTGCAGGCTTGAATATCCCAGTCTCTGAGGAAAGGAATACACAACTGTTGGGAGCTGTGTCCCCCACCCCCAATCCTGAATTTCTGGTAAACAACTTGTAATGCTTGCAGCTGCTCTGAACACAAGACCCTCAGATGTTCCTGATGGCAGGAGACTGGTTTCTGGTGGGTTTGGCTAGGGTGTGGCTATCAGTTAAGGATCTATATAAGCTGCCCCTGGACACAATAAAGGAGGCATTCCAGCATCAAGGATGACCTGTGTCTCTGTCCGTGAGTCTGTGTGTGTTTCAGTCTCCAGCCCCTTGCCCGGTTCACTAACTGTATACCATACGCATAGAGCACAGATGGGCAGGGTGTGCTACAAGTGGAGGCTCCACCAAGATCAGGAACAAAGGGTCCCTGAGAGATTACCCTCTGGCATGGTGAGGGTGGTTTGAAGATTTGGTATGTTTGTTTTCATCCCCAGAGACGCTCTGAGGGACTCCCTCTGAAAAACAGGAGGCAGGAGGGTGAATTGAAGGCCTCGAAAAGAGTAAAAAGAGGACAAAAAAAGAGTAAAACAATACAAAAAGGATGAAAAAAATGATAGAGTATAGCCCTAGAGATGAAAGAAAAGAGTACGTTTAAAAGAGACAGTCAGATTAAAAAAAGTACCCCCAAGAATGCAGCGCCCCCACTCAGCAGGAAGCAGCCAGACACACTGATGATGCCCAAATTCCCTAAAAGATTGTTGAGGAAAAGAAAAAGAAAATAAAGAAAAGGGGTGAGATGCTGGGAGCTGGACCCCCCAGATCCTGAATTTCTGGTAAACAACTTGTAATGCTTGCAGCTGCTCTGAGCAACGAGACCCTCAGATGTTCCTGATGGCAAGAGAGTGGTCTCTAGTGGGTTTGGCTGGGGCGCGGTTATCAGTTAAGGATCTCTATAATAAGCGGCTCTGGTACACAATAAAGGGAGCATTCTTGGGGCATTCCTGTTTCAAGGATGAGTTGTGTCGCTGTCTGTGTGTCTTTGTGTGTTTTAAATCTCCAGGCCCTTGCCCATCTCGTGGATGGTCCTGTAGTACAGGCGCCACAGGTGGAGGTTCCACAGAGATCGGGTACTAGGGGTCCCTGAGAGATCGCCCTCTGGAATGGTGAGGGTGGACTGAAGGTTGGTATGTGTGTTTTCATCCCCAGAGACGCTTTGAGGGATGCCCTCTGGAAGACTGGCCAGTAGGGAAGTAATAAAGAGGAGGCGGGAGGGTGAACTGAAGGCTTCAAAAAGATAAAATGTGCACAGATGTTATTGTGTTGATGATGTTGTCTTTTGTGTTCTGGACTGGAGAAAGACATTTGATTCTGGGAACTGCTAAGAAGGGTATTTTGACTTTAAAAAAATGGGCCTAAGTATTTGATGCTTTGGAAAAGATGTTCTGCTTTTGTCTCCACAGAGGATGAGAACCTGAGGATTCATTCCAGATTCATGTGGTTTGATTCACCGAGACTCCCTGAAATGTAACAGTAAAATACCCCCAAGAATGCAGCGCTTCCCGCTCAGCAGGAAGCAACCAGACAGACTGATGATGCCCAAATTCCCTAAAAGATTGTCGAGGAAAAGAAAAGAGAGAAGAAAAAGGGGGGATAAGATATTGGGAGCGGTGAACCCCCAGATCCTGAATTTCTTGTAAACAACTTGTTTCCCTCTACTCTTAGACAGCCCGCGGCTGCTCTGAGCACGAGACCCTTAGAAGTTCCTGATGGCAGGAGAGTGGTTTCTGGTGGGTTTGGCTGGGGTGTGGCTATCAGTTAAGGATCCCTATTTAAGCTGCCCCTGAATAATAGAGGGGGACATTCTTGTTTCAAGGATGACCCGTGTCTCTGTGTGTGTTTGTGTGTTTCAATCTCCAGCCCCTCACCTGGTTCATGAACTGTAGGGTAGCACATGGAGTGCAGGCGGGCACGGTGCGCCGCACTGAGGGATGTCTGTCCGTGCCATGGCGCGTGTCAGGAGACAGCAAGGAGGAGCTTTCAGAGGCCCTGAGTATCCTCCATACTGACCTTCCAAGGAGAAGCGGTTACAGTGAGAGGAAAGCCTGTGAGCCCCTTCTTGCTGCTCTCACCGCCATTCCACTGAGGGAACTCGTCCCCAGCACCCTTGATCCTGGAGCCACCAGCTTCTTAACAGTCCCTGCCACTTCCCAGTATGCAGAACAGGAAGGAAGTAGTCTCTGACAGAGAGGGCAGGACGACTGGTTGGTTCTGCCAGCTTTACACAAATGAGTCACAGGGGAGGGGAAACTCAATAAGAAATTGCCTCCATCACTTCATCCTGTGGTCATGTCCGTGGACCACTTCCTTCATCACTGATGAGGCTCTACCAGCCCGCTGTGTGTGTGGGGCAGCCCTGGGCAGTGGTCCTGTTTCATATGAGAAAGCAAGCTGAGCAAGCTAACTTTACCCCAGGGCTCTTGCCTCTGTCCTGCCTGAGTCCTTACCCTGACTTTCCTCGGTGATGGGCTTTGACTGGGATATACAAGCTAAATAAACCCTTTCCTCCCTAAGATGCTGTTGGTCATGGTGTGGGACAGCAAGCACATGAATGCTGGCCCCACTGCCATGGAGTGCCCTAGTCCCTTCCTTCAGGAGGAGGAGGTGTGCTCACGATTGGAAAGATGAGTCAGGACAGAGTGGACGTTTTACTTTGGTCTCTCGGTTCCCACCACTCCTTATGAACTAGTTTATGTTTGTCTCAAAGACAGCAAGAGATTAAAATCTGGTTCAGAGGCAAGATCCAAAATAGAGACTCTCAGGAACTATGAGAGGATTGACTGGAGATGGCTCGAGAAGCAGATGAGAGGGGGCAACCGTGCTCTAGCAGCTGTCCTGATCATCCCTGGTCACTGGTCAGAGGGCCAATCAACACTCAGGATCACAAGAGAGAAATCAGATCTATCTATAAGGAGCTGAGTCACCACAGTGGTTGCCCGGGATGCCATGAGGTGAACAGGCACAAAAACAGCCTAGGGCCCTCTTCTTCCAACTACCACTGCTTCCTAAAGAAGGAAGCAACCCCATGCCCAAGAGACCCCAGGGGGCACGTCCTACTTTCTGGGCATTCACACTTAAAGTGCCCTGTTCCATCACACCAGAAGCAAGCCCCTGGACCAGAACTAGGACTAACAGGTTCAGGATAGAGAGTGACCAAGAGCTCCCCATATCCATGCCCTTTATTCCCCTGGCTCAAAGAATGGAAAACTGTAAACATGGCCTTGACAGAATCTCCTAAGGACTCTTTGTAGGATACCTTTTCAAACTGCACCTCATTCTTAAAGGGCCAGACATGGTTTGAGGTCCTCAGGTTCCAGGTATAAAGGCCACTGCCACTGTGCTGGCTGGAATCTCTCAACGAGTAAGCATCTGTCTCTTTGATCCACTGAAGCCGAAGCTGGGGGACGCTAGTTGCCTTTTCCTAAGTAGGGTAAAGCTGCCTGTGGTCAGATAGGGAGACAGTCACTGTAGGCTACAGCCTGCTGCTATTGGTCCATTTCTTGCTCTGACCTCACAGACAGTCACTGAGATGGAAGAATGAGTGGCCTGCATATAAGGCTGTAGCCTGGGCTGCATTTCTGTCCAGAGACTAGGGAGCTGATTTTGGTGACCTGTGGGACTCCTTCATTCGTATCTTAATTGGAGCCTAATTGGAGCTTAATTGGACACAACCTTTCTGGACAGGAGGCCAGTAAACACCAAGCCTCATGGCCTGCCTCCCCCAAGATGGGGGCCTAGACCGGCAATACAAAATGCTGTTCACCATCGGCCAGGGTGGATTTGGCTGTGTACAACTGGCCCTCCATCGCCTCACAGGCATGCCCGTCGCAATTAAAGTTGTAGAAAATCTGAAGAAACACCTGCGCCTCGTTCTATCAGAGATAGCAGTACTGGAAACCGTGCGACATCCACACATCATCCGCCTCTTCCAGGTTTTAACAACCACAAAATACTGCTACATGATAACAGAGTATGTGCCGGGGGGCAATCTGTACCAACTGGTTAAAAAAGAAGGCAGGCTGCAGGAGGAACAGGCACAGGTAATATTTGGGCAGCTAGTGTCAGCCATAAGGTGCTGCCATGACCATGACATTGTCCACCGAGACCTGAAGCCCCATAACATCCTGCTAGATGCACATGGAAATGTGAAGCTGGGAGACTTTGGCCTTGCTACCAGGTGTGAAGCTGGCACTGTGCTGTATGGGTGCTGTGGGACCAAGAGCTACAATGCCCCAGAACTGGTTCTGAGGGAAGGCTATGATGGGAAGAAGGCAGACGTGTGGGGTCTGGGTGTGTTGCTGTACTTTATGACCACTGGGCACCACCCCTTCAGAGGAAGCACCCTGGAAGAGACCGAGAAAAAGATCACTGTTGGCATGTATGACATCCCAGCTCACATCTCTGGGCAACTGGAAAATCTCATTCACCAAATCTTAACAGTTGCCCCAGAGAGGAGGCCCTCCATTGAAGACCTTCAACATCATCCATGGGTCAAGAACCCTGAAGGAAACATCTTTAGTGACCCCTACCCAGATCCTAAAATTGTTGACAAGCTGTTTGACCATGGGTTTGCTGCCAACGAGATCTTTGACTCACTGCAGAAGCGGAAATACGACGAGATAATGGGGACATACCTGTTACTACAAGAACAGGAACACCAGGGGCTTGACTCCACCTCCTCAGTCACTACGGCAGACCCTGGCCCTGCACCTCCACCATCTCCAGTCCCTCCTTTAACATCGGGTCGTTACCTAAAAAGAAGAGCCAGTGAGCCCACCTTTGGCCTTTTCCACACACAACCTTCACAACAGCACATGCCTGATGTCCTGACACTATCAGGGCAGAAGATAAACCAGAGTGTCTCCATGCCTCTATGGTGTTCCCAGAAGAAAAGTCCCACTTCGAGCCATGCCCCACCGACCAAGGCCGCATCTGCCCCATGTGTCTACCACAGCAGGGTAGAAGAAGAAATGCCCCTGCCACCTGGACCTGACTCTAACACGGAAAAATCATGCCTCCCTCAGAACAGCGGGTGCTTCAGCGGACTGTGCAGGAGAACCAGAGTTTGCCTGTCAAGACTGTGCTGCTTCCCGCGGGCTTCAAATCCACAAACCGAGCGTGTGTCCAACAACAGAGTGACTCCTCTGAAAGAGTCAGGAGGCAGACGCAGTGAGGAATAGGGCAAGTAAGAAAGAGATGATGCATACGTATTTTATATTTCATTTTCACCATGTATTTTTCACTTGAAAAATCAAAAATGTGTATGTTCGTCGTATCCAACAGGTTGTCCAGATGTCTACACAATTTGGATGGAAACCTGGAACTTAGCATACTTCCTCAGGAAGAAATCCTCCAGGAACGTACCTAGGTGGTATCCGATGCAGCTGGACTGGCAGTGATCAGCAGGACTGGGATCAGTAATGGGACAGGGAATGTTGATCTGTTGTCCATAGAGAACAGATGTCCAGATTGGAAGACTCTGCTTAGGGATCCAGTGACTAGCAAAGTGACAATGGTCAAACCACAAAGGGGCCAATTCAATGTCTCCCTACAGTTCGTCTGTACAGGCAGAGTGTGCTGAGCTCATAAGGCCTGACATCACAGTGTCAAGGCCAACATGGGAGGACGAGCTAGATACCCAGTTCCTGTGTGCCCTGCATGCCCAGACTAGAACAGATGTTTTCAGGACCAGAGGCCTCTCCACAGCAGCATTCCAGGATCATGCCCTCAAGAGACAGAGTTACCTACTAAGCATGTATGCCTTTTCCAACCCTAAGTCTTCCAAATCTGAGAAGACCGGATGAGGGATTTGTTTGAAGGGTCGTGACCTATGTCCCTGCGGTATTGTGGATTTATTTCCTAGTTGTAGGGTCTCTGACCACAAAGAAAGGTGGATCATGGTGGTTGAAGCTCATGTATGGCTGTAAAGGAACTCGGCCGGAAGCACAAAGTAAAATTTCCTTACCTGAGCAAGGGATGGAGAAGGGAGAGGAAGCTGTTGTGCATAGGGAACAAATGTCCAGATGGAATTTAATGTGATGATTAGTGCCTGGAGAAGGACTATGGTCAAGGCTAAAGGGGTCACTTCGAAGTCTCCCAGCAGTTCAGATGAACAGATGGAGGTGCTGAGCTCTGACATGTTTGCTCATAGCCGAGAGTGGGACCTCAGGTCTGGACAGCAGCATCTGAAGATGAGTCTGGATGCTTAGTATCTCAGGCAGCATGCCCACTCTGTGGACATTGGCCAACACAGGACTCTCCATGGGGAACTAACTCCGTTCTCTAGTACAGAGGGTACTGTGATAGCCATCCTAAGCATCTGACGAACACTCTGCAAGAATGTCTTCAAGCTTTCCATCCGAAGACCGTAACAATAGTCTCCTCATAGGACACTAATGGAGCCCCTTTTCTCTCCCTTCTCGTACTCTGTTCTCGTACGTCTGCTGAACGATCAGGATGTGGGCAACTCTGGAAGGTCCTGTGCCACTGCAGGATGGCCTGAGCTGGGGCGTTGTCACCATCTAATGCAGAAGCTCTGTGACAACACACGATATTGTTGACACAGCTGTTCTGCCCTATGAGATGAGGAGCTGATTCACCTGTCTCCATGTAAGCACACCCCAGTCTGCCCTTCCGGGTTCTACTGTCACTATGGTGATACTTAGACAAGAAGGATTTGGCAGGAGGAGGTTGGAAGGAAAGACAATGTGAGGCCCAGCTGTAATGGAGAACTAGATGGTGAAACCACAGATCCCCTTCTTCAGACCCGCGTAGTGACAGCTCTGTCACCAAGAAGGCAACATCTTATTCCCTGCATCTCCTCCAGCTTTCGTTCCCAGTCTTCTAGACCTGAAGCGTCTGCAGGAGGGCCTCTCCAGATTCTTCAGTGCATGGCCCTCTGACTACTGTCCCTGCATTTCCTTGGGATTTTGTTCCAGGTCTGGGATGTCGGACAGAACCGGGCTCACAATTCTAGCCATGCAGCCTGTTCCTCACTCCCTGGGCTATGCTGGCTCCAGGCCTCCTGGAGCATCTTGGTAGCAATTCCCCCCTCCATGGGCCCGACTCCATTCTTACCTCCAAGGAGTAAGAGTGAAGATCGTGGGACCCTAGCTTCTGGTTGCTGCCGTGCAATGGTGTGAGCTGTTCTTTTGTCTGCTGACATTCAGTAAACATGGCGGTGTGTCAGGCCCTCAGTAGGGGCTGGATGCCAGGATCGTTAGTCTGATGGTCAGGCTGCACCAAGGAGCTGGGATGCTGTCATGGTCCAAGAAAATCAGGAAGAGCAAGCTGGTGAGGTAAGTGCGTATGAAAACAGTTAAATATAGTAAGAGACCTGAAAGGGTGCAGGGTAGTACAGGAAGCTGGAAGAGATTGTCTTGAGTGAAGGTCACCGCTGGGAAGACCCAGGGAGGAAAGAAGGGATGAGATGGATGGATGGCCTTCAGAACAGCCATGTGACAGGCAGCCAGCACTGACGCCTGCTCCCTATGTCTCTCTGTGATAGTGAAGTGTTTGTGGACTGCGGAAGCAAATTTCTCATTAATTTAACTATTGACTAAATGGTATTCTCAAATCTCTCTCGGCTCCCAGGCCCTGAGAGTGTTGGCAGTTCCAACACGGCCATCGGCCTGCTGTAGGCTCTCCTCTTCGGCTGCTGGCGAGAAAGGCAGAGGAGGGCGCAGAACTGTGGGGAAGATAGAAGCTAGAATCCAGCCTGAGAGGGTGTCAATGGTGGACTCTCAGCACTAAGGACCACGTTCCTGCTGTGGGGCCCCCACCATTCTTCACGTGTACCTGCAGGGATTTCAGAGCCAGTGATTCTTCCAGGTCAAATGTGTCACCCGGCAGTCCTCCTAGAACGGGGTCATCCTCAGCCCCCGGTGTTGCTTCTGTCCCCCCAGATACTCAGCCACCTCGAGAAGACCTGTCACTAGGCAGGGAAAGTAAGGCACTGACTAGGGCAGTTGGATGTGCACCCCAGTCCTCTCTACCCTGACCTACTGTCACGGTCTTCTTTGTAGATGTCACCATCTGTGAGTCTGAACTTCAGCAAAGCAGGCAGGCACTGTGCGGCTGCCCTCATGGGGACAATCTGGGCTGGGGTCCCATCAAAGAATCGTGTACCAAGGTCCTTGTTCCTGGCTGCCGAGGGCAGAATGAACACAAAGCCATGCTGTGTCTGCATGCTGCGTGTCAGGACTGATGTTCTGGAACGCCCCAAAATCGTTGCTCCTGCTGCCAAAAGCCAGGTCATGTACTTAAAAAATGAGTGTTCCAGCTCCAAATCAGGAAATTTCTGTGTCAAAGAAGACAGTGCCTAGAGTTGACATGGAAGATCAGGCGAGGAAGATGGGAAGGTTCCCATGAAGCTTACTTACCCCAAATCCCCAGGTTCCTTCTGGCCCAGCCCCAAACTAGTGATAGTTCTTGGAAACATAAGACCCCCCCTATGTGCTGACTGGGATCTCGGAGTCCCGAGTGGCATGTCTCCTGCAGGGACCTTTCAGATCCCTCTGGTTGGACCTGTTCCTCTTCATTCTTTGAACACTGAGGTGTGTTTGGGGGATGGGGTTATGAACTCTTCACCCTGAAGACTCCCACATGCATTCTCAGTTTGCAGAGCTGCCTTCCTCTTCATGAAAGTGATCCCTGCAGTGTTTAACTTGCAGGTCCCAGCTGCCTTCTCCATAGATGTTTTGTGCGGGGGGGAAAAACAGGGAACCCGCTGAAACAGTGCATCGAACAGCCGGACATCCCTAATGCCGAGAACCTGCACCAGACGGGGCACCTGGATCTGCATCAGCTGCGTCTCTCACGAATGAAGACCTCGTGATCATCCTTTAGCTTGCAGGACTCAGTGTTCTCTGCTTCCTTCTTCTTACCTTGTCTTCTCTGAACAGCCACTGCCTGAGCCTAGGGTGAGCCTTGCTAATCCGGGAACATGGGAACAGGCTTTATCTGTGCCATCTGTGCGGTCTCTCTGCTGTCCTCTCCCCGTGAGCACTCTGTGGCTCACTGTGTGGACAATTCCTCCCTTTGTCTGTGCCCCCATCTTCCTTCAGGATCTTTCTGTTCATGGTCAGGGCCTCAGGAAGGTGTGGTGGCATTACAGAAAAGGAGCCACAGCAGCCTCAGCTGGCCATGGCATGGACCCTGGGTCATGGTGCTGCCATTGCCATCCTCCCCGGATTCCATCCTCTGGGTCTAGTAGGAAACTGAGAAAGTGTGAGGGCTGAGGGAGGGCGAGAAAGCACTTCCAGGCCCACGTCCAGCTTAGGTCTCACCTTACCATGCTGGAAAGCC